TTTCAAAATAAATATCAATACTTTAACTTGTTGCCAAATTGTGATAGAACTTAGATCTTGTTGTTATATACTGTTCTTAGGGAAAGAAAGAAAAAAGGAAAGAGAAACAAAAAAGTTGTTGTTCCTCTTCCACTCATAACTACTGCTTCACCTAATATTTCCATACTTCTCTTTCAACTAAGAACTGTCCAACTCTTTCAAAAACTAATTACATTATCAATTTGATGTTGCACAAATAAGAACACATGAGAAGTACATGCCTTGTTTACTTTTTCTATAGCTAATGTGATCAACCAATTTGTGATCTTGATCAATCATCTTTCAGAAGATTCGATGTGACCAAAAATTCAAAATCAAACTAAGATAGGCAAAATTTTTCAAAAAAATCAAAAAAAGAAAGCATGCTTAAGAAAGAAAAAATAGGAAGTCAAAGAAATAATAGAGAGACTGAAAACTTCTTTATTTTTATTTCTCTAAATTCTTGAATCTCTTGAAAGCCTTTGAAAAATATTTTTTCTTATTAATTTTCTTCCTAGAAAGATGTTCTTGTTATAAGTCTTTTAAATAGGTTTCTTGTATTTAGTTACAAAAATAAATTGAAAAAGTGTTTGAAAAAAAATAAATAAAACAAGTAATAGCTGCTATTTGCTTTGCTAGTTAAAGAACCAGTATTGTTAAGAAAAATGTATAGACTTTATTATTATAAAAATATAAAATCTTTTGAGAATATCTGTTTTTTGAATTGGCAAAAGAATTAGTAGAAAGAGTTTAATGACTAATTTTATATATTTGCTATAGTTGTTTTATTTCTTTTATATGTTTTCTTTATTATTGTTATAGGAAAAAAGTGATGAGTAAATTATAAGAAATTATAAGAATAAGTATAATAGTAAATATATTAAATATATAATAAATATAATATGTATAAATAAAAATAAATAGATCAGATTTTGCAATAGGTTTTACTTGTGCAATAAAGATTGTTTTTCTTGATAAAGTTTAGTTTGGTAAGAATATTTCCAATGTTATATAGTAAAAGGAATTGCTGTATACAAAGTAACTAGATAGAATGCAGATCAACAAACTAATCTGCATTAGCATTACAGATTCTGGTCAAATTCATATGCCTCTTTTAAAAAGAAAACCCTCTTAAGTATTACATAACACAAGTCAGATTGAAGCGACTGACTTGCTATAATTTCATCATAATGTCCTGGGTCAAGAGTTTATTAGCAATAACAGCAAAATCCTAGACTTTGCGACATGTCGACAGGGGTATCTGTTATAACAGAAGATTATTAAAGGTAGAAAGAGGTGTAAATTTGATGAGTTTGTGTAATTTAAGGGATTTTATTGGATAGAACAGTGTGATAAGTAGGTCGATTTTAACACTCTTTTATTAATTAATTTTTCTGCTTCCTTTTTCTACTATATTTCCTTATATCATTTTTATATTTTTTCTTATGACAAAAAAAAAACAAAAGAAATAAAAGAAATAAAAGAAATAACAGAAATAAAAGAAATAATGAAAATAAAAGAAATAACGAGGTTGAGGGTCGATTATCCGTTTTGACAACCTCTATAATGCGCGATCATCATTTTCTCAATTTCTAAGCCATATCGTCAATTGTTGTTTCCCCATAACAGTTCCTCCCTTTCTTAATTGTGAGTTCCATGAGCAAACCCTTTTACTCGACTAAAACTCAGTACTCTTGCGCACTCAATCACTTAATCTTATTGAAGATAACATATTCAGTTCGATAGATCTGCTTTATTTTCTATCATTGGAATAGATAGTAAATCCACAAACTTCCCAGGTGATAATGTAAGGTAAGACAATTCTGCAGTCCCGTTCCCTCTACCAGTTGATCCAAATAATATGCCATTACTAACATTTCAATCCGCTGATCCAAGTAAGTTGCCCTCCTTAGGCACAACAAGGTCCTAATGACTTTTTCCTTATACGTTTCCTAGGTGTCATAGGATAATGATATAACGTTTACATACGTGGGTTCCATTGTCAGTAAATCTGTTATTATTTTAATGACTTCTTCAGACATCCTTCTAGATTAGTTTTGAACTGAAGGGGAGGAAATAAAACAAAGAAAGAGAAAAAAAACAAAGAATTGCATGAAATCAAAAACTATCCTATTTATATTTATAAAAAAAAATAAAATCACCAAATAAAATAACTGTTCGAATTGATCGAACCAATCAAAAACATCTCTTTTTTTTTCATTTCATTTTTTTTTTCTATCCCTGCATGGCAATTTCATCTTCTTCAGTAAGTATCGTTTCTCGTTCGTGATACAATTTCAACAGCTGATGATTAACAAGTCGTCGAAGCACGTTTCCTTCCATTGTTCGGAGATGATATACCCCCTTTGATCATACTTCATGGACAAAAAAGAGTTCCTCCCACTTACTATCCAGTTTGTGGCTTCGGAAGTGGATAAGATAGGTACAATAAAGTAACACTTTGTCTCCTATTGCGAAACTTTGACTAGATTTGAGTCTTTGGTCGTGTCATTTCTTGTTTTGCTGTTGCATTTGCTCTATCTGTGCAACAGCGTTATTTCGTTCTTGGGAAACAACATTAATAAGGTCAAACAATTATTTTAAAATAGTACTATCAAGAATGTCATCATCTGGAATTATTGGTGTACGTGCTTTCCTGCTGTATATCAAATAGAATGGCATCACTTTAGTCATAGTCTGATGAACTGTCCGGTATGCAAACAATACAGATGGTATTATTAGATTCCAATCTCTAACATCACTTATGGTTTTGGCCAACGATTTACATAGTGTTCTGTTGAATTACTCTACTAGTCCATTCGTCTGTGGGTGATACACGGTAGAATATAGGTGTGCAACTTGAATTTTAGACAGAAATGTATTAAGCATTTGGCTTCTGAAATTTGTGTCTTGATTAGATAACAGGTAACTAAGACATCCATGATGACACACTATATTATCGTAAATAAAATCAGCGATATTTCAAGCGGTCACGTTTTCTACGGCCCTGGCTTCTGGCCATCTGATCATATAATCGGTAGTGACAATAATATATCATTTATCTCGTGGGGTTACAGGCAAAGAACCAACTACGTCGATGCCTATTTTATAGAATGAAGCCTCCACAGGTATCAGATGTAAAGGTCGTTGTGCTCGATTCTTTCCTCATCATTGATACTGATCATATGTACATACGTATGTCCTGATATCTTCGTATAGTTATGGCCAATAGTATAGGTCTCATATCTTCTTAAACATAATGTCTTTACCAAAATGTTCTTCTAGTGAATGTGTGTGTGTTAAGTACAGTATCGGTTCTAACTCATGTCATTGTAGTACTTGTAATAATCGACCTGGTTGGTGTTTGTTTTTTTTATATAATAATCCGTTCTTTTGTACAAAAAAATTACTTTGCACCTGTAATCGTCGTGTCAGTTGTGGTGTGGCATTCGTGAGTAGTCATTGTTTCTGTAGGTAATTAAGCAGTTGTCGATAGTTATCGGATTCCATAATTTTTTTTTTTCACGCCAAGGCACTGGTACCTGAACTAGATTCTGTTTCTTGAATTTTTCTTTTTTTCTTTTTTTTTTTTTTGAATCGATTAGTGGGCAATAGGGTCTGACACAGTCGTTACTTGTTTCTCCATAATGCTTTTAATTATGTTGTTGTTACTACATTTCTTATTTTCTTTCTTTGTTCGAGATAACGTGTTCATATTGATATATTTCTTACTAGCGTGATGTATAATTGTATAGTTATATGGTTTAAGTTGTAGAATTCATCATGCTCTCCATCCCTTTAGTTTAGATGTTTCGAGCCACTTCAGTGCAGAGTGATCAATTACTACTATGAAGGGCTTCATACTGAGGTAATGATGGAAATATTCAACTTTCCAAATTACCGCTAAGCATTCTAATTCTGTTGTTGTGTAGTTTCGCTCAGGTCTAGTCAACTCTCGGCTCACGTATGTGACTACGTATTCATTTTTTTTGTCATCAATTTGTGACAATATAGCATCCAATCCTGTTTCCGAGGCATTTATATGTAAGTAAAACGTTCAGTCAAAGTTGGATATCTGAGGATTGATGCAGAAATCAGATGTCTTTTCAAAATTTTGAAAGCATTTTATTGGTCTTCTTCCCATTTGTATGGTACGTCCTTTTCTAATAGTCGGTATAAAGGTTTCGCAATGCTAGAGAAATTCTTTATAAACCTCCGATAATATGAGGCAAGTTCTATAAATTCTCTTAACTGTCTTAAATTTTGGAGGTCGGGAAATTCTTTACTTTCTTTACGTTCTCTAAATTCAGTTGGATGCCATCCCTTCCTACAATGTGGCCTAGAAATCCCACATTCAGTAAGAAGAAACTACACTTCTCAGAGTTCAATTTCAACAAGGCTTTCCTTAGTTCTTTGAAAACTCATAATAAATGCTTCAGGTGTTCTTTATAAGTATGTGAGTAGACAATAATGTTATCTAGATATATGGTGACAAATTGTTTTATACACTCATGTAAAACCATGTTCATAAGCCATTGGAAAGTGGCCGGTATATTACATAACCCAAATGGCATAACCTTAAACTTGTAGGTACCAAATTTTGTTACAAATATAGTCTTCTCGCAGTCATTTTCATGTACTCGTACTTGACAATATTCACTGGCGAGATCTAGATTAGAGAACCAGCTAGCTTGTCCCAACATTTTTAGTAGGTCGTCAATTCATGGTAATGGATATGCATCCTTTTTTGTTACTACATTCAATTTCCTGTAATCGATGTATAGTCACTTCACTCTGTTCTTTTTTGATACAATAACTATAAGGGAGGACCAAAGGCTAATGGATTCCTGTATTAGGTCTTGTTCCTTCATCTTCTTTAATTCTTCTCGAACATCATCATGTTCGTTTGGCACTATTCAATAGAGGGCTTGCTTAATTAGTTTCGCATCTCCTATGTTAATAACATGGTAAATGACATCAGTTTAAGTTAATTCCATAATATCCTTTGCAAAAAGATTCTTCTCTTTTTCAAAGAATTTCGTGGCTTCTTCCTATTCTTCCTTCATTAGGCAGATGTCAATGTTCTGCTTCTGGGTTCCTTCATCGTTTCGACATTCGTCATGGTCTTTATCATGGGTAGATATCTCCTCAAGAGTTGTCATATATATTGCCGGACTTTGCATGTTTTCCCATGGATTCTCATACAGTTCTCCATCCGACCATTCTTTTGTATAATACCCTTCCTTTTCTTCTAATTTTTCATTTTTGTACTTGAATTCATCACATGTGTCGGGATCTTTGTCACTTATATCTGTCTTTTCCAGTGTCTACAAGAATGTCACGTCATTGTGTGAAATCAGGATTTCTGTGGATTGGCCTTGATACTTAAGGTACAGTTTTTGTTCATCGAAATGAATCCTTGCATTTGCCTTCTGGAACCAATCTGTTCCCAACAAAAGGGTTTCATCTCTGGATTTGATAACTTGGAAGGTCGTTGAAATGGTAATCTTTTTAACTGTAATGTTGACATTTCTAATCTTTCCTAGAGTTCTTTCTCTAGTCCCATTGGGGCCGTAATGACGGTAGTTGTAGATTTCTTCTTAATTCATATCTGCAGATAGTTTAAAAGTTTTTTTGTAATAATACTCATAGCGGCACCTGAATCTAATATAGCTATAATCAGTTTTCCTTCAATCTTTGCGTAACATTTTGCGGCAGTAGTTCTGCAGGTACTAGCAGGTCATACATGATGAGTTTCAGGCATAGCTACAGGTCGTGTAAGAGCTTTGCTAAATTTCTTCGCTAGTTCGAATACTGTAACATTTGTTCTATTGTTGCAATGGCAGGTAAAGCTAAGATATTGTCTGCTATATTATAAGGGTCTAGGGAATCAATTACTGATGGCTCTCTTTTCCTTTTCACTTTCTTCACTAGTAACTCCTCTTCTATAGGTTGAGTATTTATCTTCATTGATTCTACCAGGTTAGCAGCTCTCCTAATCTTGGGTATATGATTCAATTCACCCAAGCTACTCTCTGGCTTGCACTTAGGTCTTCCTCTTCTAGCAAGTATAGTGCCTCCCACAATGTAAGCATCCATATCATTTTCTTCTTCTGATTGCCATTTGCAATAGTGAACATTTGATGTAGGATTCTTGGCTATAGGTGCTACTGGTACTGGTGATACATTTTTGGAGCATTCATGAGAGTAGTGCCCTTCTCTTCCACAGTGGTAACATCTTACAATCCTTGATGCATTCCTCTAATCTAGAGGAGTATTTCTTCTGGATACAT